ACCCGAGCATTTATTTCTTTCCAGGACAAACAAGCGTGACAGTGTAAAAATATTCCTATAATTGTTTTCACCACTTTGCATGTACAGCTGGGTTCTTATTGCAACATATGAAAGTTCTCTCTACCTTCTAATTCTTCCAGAAAAGACTTTAGGCAGTATCTCTATCAGGGTTGGGGCGAAGTACTTTGAAAAGTACTTAAGTAAAATCCAAGTACATTTAAAAAATACTTAAGCTTAAGTAGAAGTACTTGATAACTTTTGACAAAAGTAGTTAAGTATAAGTACAAGTACTTCGATATGTACTTAAGTATAAGTATAAGTACTTTTCAAAGTCAGTTTAATTGTATTATTACAATCAATGTATTAATTACTATTACATCTAATGAACATTAATCTTCAAGCTCTTGTTCAGTTACAGTTGCAAATAAGTGAAGAGACTGGTAGTAATCCTGGAATTTGCACTTGCTTTCTATGATACACTGATATAGTATTGAAAGTACATGTAATTGCACTAGCTATGTTAATAATACTACATTATACAATCTGTGCTTTAAAAAACTTAAAAGTACTTAAAGGACTTATAAGTACAAATGTACATCAAGTACGTCAAGTACATAGGCCAATACTTAAGTATAAGTACAAGTACATTGGTAAAATTTAAAAAGGATTTACGTATAAGTACAAGTACCAAAAAATATGTACTTAAGTACAAGTACCAATGTACTTTGCCCCAACCCTGATTTTTATGTTCTTTTGCTGTTAGAAAGCTCATAAATTTGTCCCATGTGTAAATGATTTTGTTTGCTGTAACTACACCCACTTACGTAGCGTGGGCGGGTGGTTACTAAGGCTTGTTATTTCTCCAATACAACGTGTATAGAAGAAATGTAAGTGTTGACATACAAATATATATATATATCGCACATGGGTGAAATCAATTATAGGACAACCTGGGGGCTACGCCCCCAGGTCGTAAAAAATTGCGTAGAATACAAAACGTAAAACTGGGATTCAAACCTGGAACTCTAAGTTCAATGCACTCAGCTTACTAAGTTAGGCCATTTGGGACACTTTAAAGGTTGTGGTACCTATATTGACTAAAATATGCGTATCTTAATACCAGGTGTTTATTCAAGCCCGGCCTTTATTTGAACATTTACGGTATTTATGTATAGTATCATGGTACTCCATTGCACTGTGCTATGAAAACTGGTAATGTTGATATTATAAAATTAGTAATAACTAAAGGAAATGCTCATGTGAATGCTGTGGATAAGGTAAATTTATGAAAATATCATTTAATTCTAATTGTATTATGTATTTATAGGACAACAGTACTCCATTGTTTATTGCTGTTAAGAGTGGTAGTATTGAAGCTGTTGATATTCTATTAACTAATGGAGCTAGAACTGATGTTGTGTCTGAAGGAAGTTTTAGTGCTGGCATTATTGTGAGTGATCAAAATTAAAACATGACTTGCATTGTGTGTGCTTGGTGTTTTTTGCACACAAAGCAAATTTTCATTCTTGAGTCACTAAGAGGTGACATCCTTTGACCATTTATTCAATTACCCATTAATGAAATATTGTACCCTTCATTTTTGTGTCCATTTTTGTTATATAGTATTGTGGTACTCCATTGCACTGGGCTAGTGAAACTGGTAATGCTGATATCATCAAATTATTAATAACTAAAGGAAAGGCTGATGTGAATGCTGTGGATAGGGTAAAGTTAATTCTAATTATTGTACTGTATAGCTTGAAATCTTCATGGAATGTAAATTTCATGGTTTTCATGGTTATGGGCTGCCCACGAAATTTAAACCCATGAAATCATTGAAGTGCCATCCCCTTAGAGGCTATGTAAACTGTCAACGACGAAAATTAAACCACAATTGCCCCACTAGGAGCAAACCACGAAAATATTGATCCATGAAAATTTCAAGCTATACGGTATCATTTTGTGTTGTATTTATAGGACAACAGTACTCCATTGTTTAATGCTGTTAAGAGTGGTAGCATTGAAGCTGTTGATC